CAGCCCGGAAATTAGTGTACATAGTGCAGCAATGGCATCCGACGGCTTCTAGTTGAGCTCCTACGAATGTCGCTGATTCCACGTCCGAGCTTTACACGCGTAATGTCCGCCGTCTATGCACATACTATCAGACGAAGTGACATGCAGGTAACCGAATATACAGGTACATCTGAGCCTTCGTTTGTCTACAAGTCATACTCGGCTTGCACAATTTGAGATCAAAGCTAATTGATGCTCCATGAACGATAATTGCGTGTTTTAGATCCGATGCATGTAAATGCGCTTAAGCTTCGACCCAAATGAAATTCTGTCATACAGTGTACATATATTGTGTGAAAGCATATATTTCATATAATTTTGTCGTAAAATATTAGAGAGCCATTATTTTAGTTAGTTATCTGATTTACATCAATTTAATTGTAATAGATTTATATAAAAACCAAATCAATTTTAATAAATCGCACAAATAATCGAAAATGACATTCTGCATTAACTTATACTGACACTGATAGGTACATGTACGTGATTTCCGAGCCCAATGTATGCACAACCCCTTGCATATATCGTAATATACACGGATAACGGCAAGCGCATTTTGTAGGTAAGTGTGCCGTAAGTACGACTGAATGAGATATCTCAAGCCACATTAATTTGCCAGGATCGAATCGACTTCGAAGCTCCTGTGAGCGCTTTGCCTCTCGTGAATGATATCTCATACTTGATCAAACGTTGCTGCGCAGCGCACTCGGCACGGCGCACACCGAAACGCGACCGTGCCAGCACACGCGATCTCATTACGTCGTACAATTCGAGCGATCGGGCGTAACGGGCTTTGTACGCCAGCAGTGGCAATAAATATTCTTCAGGTAGGCAGGTCGGACGTAGCGATGGAGGTTTCGCGTCTGGTCGAGTGACAATTCGAAGGAACGTCCGACGATCTCCGAAATAATCACGTTAAATCGAGTTAAGTAACATTCGTTTCGCGTGAAAATACCATCTCCCGTGCGCGCGGGCATAAATAACTCCCGCATGAATAATGTCTGCGCGATGTGGATGATTGACTTACAAACATAACAGATTTCACGTAGCGCCGTGGCTATAAATACTTCTGACAAACAACGCCATGAAAAGTCTCGTATCGCAGACAGTTTGAGAAAATGTCTGGCAATATTCAAAATCGTTTTACCAACTCGTTGCGCATTAACGACGTTATTTGTAAACCGGTTGTGTACCCATTCAGGTGTATCGCGTAGGCGATTTATACAATATAGCTAAACTCTTAATCTGAACGTAGGTACCGTCAATGATTCAAGTAAATCCTTATGCAACGAATATCTCGGCGAAATTGCCGAGCATTAAATATTGGAAACTTTACGGCGATTTCTATGACAATGCGAGCGAGACTGTGTACAACGATATATGTAGCGCAACACAGTAATAGCACTTCTGGCTACTACAGAAATATAACTTGATAAGATAATGTAACCGCACGATTTTATATATCTGTATCATATTGTGTGAATCACGAGATTCGCTAATAATTTATATTCGCAGAATTACACATTCTATCATAATAAAAGAATAGTAATTTAATTTTACAAAAAAATATAACATTGAATATTTTATAATATTTTAGAAAACAAAATTTTTAACAGTTTAAAGCGAACGTTTGTCGATATATTGGAAAGGATTACATAGGATATACTTATTTGACGTCGACAACGTTACCGCCAGGCGTGCTTGGTGACACAGAAATATAACGCGTATCACACACACAGAAGAAACAGACGTTACGAGTATACTTTTACTACGAGCAATTCGAGCAGCTGCTTCGTGTACACTTTTCAGATAGCGCTTCCGCCCGGAGTGGTAAATATCTTGGCAGATTGTGCGAGGAAAGCTCTCTATTAATTCTCGCGGGTGTTTCCGCGGACACACCGCTGTCGATATGCGTACAGAAGGCAACGTTTGCATTACGCTTCCGGTCAGTTGTACTCTCGAGGAAAAAAATAATTGCCACAACTCATGGCGTTTTATGGACGGCTTTACGAGTGGCCGCATGATAAACAGCGCGCTCTGTTGCGCAAGATATAACTCGAACCTTCATCGACGAACGAAACGTAAATCGTGGCATTACTCATAATGATTTGTCGCACCTTGAAGAGTGATTGCGCTTTCTAATTCTGGTGGAGCAAGCGAAGGCATCGCGAACAAAAATTCCTTGTCGAGTATGCAGCTTCGAAATCTCTCAATCAGACGTTTCGGACGAATGCCCTATCGTAAGCTACATAAGCGGCTATGCGCGGCGATAGTCAGCGACTAGGTAATCCGATTTCGCAGTTCAGCAGCGGCAATTAGGACAACTTCTCGAACCGAGCTCCATTCAAACCTTTTGATCTAGGATTCGAAACTTGCGTACGTTCACCGCGCTACATGCCGGAGTTCCTACACGAATGGCATACAAGCGTACGCTTGAAATGCCGCTTTAATGGTTTGCAATTAGTTAGTCGCCATAATAACAACCATCGATCTCGCAGACTATTCAGCCGCGAAATTTATTAGCTGCGATATTAAACAAATTTCGTTAGTGCGGCATGAATCATGACGTACCGCGACAAGAAACGCGTTAATATATCGCGAGGTAATTTATCTCTATCGGGAACGAGAGCTCGTTACTTTCACAGTTTGATACGATTATTACTTTACATTTTTACTCCCCTATATTATAATTAAAACAATAAAATTGTATTTAAGATCCAATACAAATCATACGTCTTATCTCGCGTCGCATTTGTATCACGATCGGCGCATCTCCGCGGAGTGTTTACGAAGAAGTGCCGAAATGACAGGATGAGAAAGTGATAATTCGATGGTGAGAAAAGTCGAGACGGCGAAAGCCTCGCGGCTCGCCGAGAGAACGAAACAGTACAAAAGCCCAGGATCGTTCGCTTTCTCACGTATCCGCCCGTGCATGCTCCACCTTCGACCGCGTGGACGCACGAAAGGGGAAGGAGAGAAGCAGGTAGATAGGGAAAAGAAGAGAATACGGCGGCACCGACGGTGGTATCGAAGGCGCGAGTGGAAACGAAATGGCCAACGAAGGAAGCAACAGCGACGGTGTGAGAACCGAGGCTCGTAGTGATTTCCATAGTTATTCGAGATAACCGGCGGAGAGGAGCCCTCGTGGCTCTCCGCGCTCCCTCCACGAGCATCCTATCATTTCGCACTACAGGAAGAGTACACCCTTTGCCGCGTATATTTGCCCGCCGCGGAATTCATATGAATCGACTGATCTCGCGGCAATGTCCCATCTCGGATAAGCAAGTGATTCTACGACAGCGGAATCTAGGCGAAATTTATCAGAAGAACAATCATTATCTGATCGGACGGTTTAATAATGCGAATGATCGCTCGCGATTCTCGCTTCGGTTTCTCTTTCAAGTTAAATAAAGATATTGAACAATAAGTTGTTATTTTAGAACATTTATTCTTAACACGGCACGTAAATTAGCTTTTCTCTGCGAGACACTGTTTTAGATGTCGTCGGCAAACCGAGAAAGCAAACAGACACTCTATCCATCGATAAACATCGACTTGTCTCTTTCGTGTTTATAGAACCCGTCCGAAATTGCACGCCTTGCTATCCTATAGCCGCTTAAACATTTGATATCCGCGGCATGAACAAACTATTATCCCGTCGTAATGATACTTGATGACTCGCCCGAAAGACGGATTTCCTGGAATCGTCGGCAAGTTCGATGAACTCTAACGTGCCCTAAAATTGCGCGCTAGCGGAGAGCTCCGGGGGAGCTCTCGGGGCAGAGGGGCGGTCGCACAGGGCCGACTTGCACAGGGGACTCCCGTCGTCCATCACGTATAAACGATTTAAACGTAGCGAGTGTCAGCTCGTAAATATTATAATTATGACATCAAATATGGCGAAATCTTTAACCAGTAACGAGGCCCGCTCCGGAGACCGGATAGTTGGCGCGCGAGCCGGACAACTGTAGTCCGACACGACGCGCGACGACGAACGCGATCCCTTTCTTACGTCGGACCAATAGATATCCGGCGGCCGTTGCGCGGATTGGAATGTTTTGTCTGCTCGATTTGTTCCGTTTAAAGGAATTAACCAGCACGGCGACGATCAATAATTTGGCCGTCGCTTGGTCGAGGTGCCACCTCGCCGCGGAACCGAGAGTGCAGGGATGCGGCGACGGGGAAAACGCGGAGTCTCGTCAATTTGTGATCTGGTTATTTTCAATGATTCGCCCCGTACTTGACGTAATCGCGCGCTCGAGGTGTCTGTAAAGGCCTAGTTAACGCTGCATTTGACCCTGCTCGTTCTCCGTTCTCTCGGAGCGATTCACTAGACGACGAGCGCCAAACACGGCGCGGTTTTATCGTCACTATAAAGCACGGACTTTACAGCGTGACGTTTCGCGAAGATTTCACGTGTTAATCGCGACTTTTCCGCTTGTACCGTTATCGAGGTACATAAAAAGTAGATACTTACGCGCGGGTGTTTCTGATCAAACGATAATATGGGCTGAAAAAGGCTGCCCGCGGCTACTTTAATGCGCTGGTATGCAGCTGCATCGTTATACACGTACGATGACACCGAATTAGCATACATTACCGTAGCCAACTTTACATTGAAAAAAGTATATTTTAATGAGGCACTCGTAAACAGTGTAATCTATTGTAAAAAAAATATATTACGACAAGAATTGTAAGCTATCTCCAAATATTTTATTATTTTGCATCAGATAAACGATAATCTTAAAATATTCTAGACGCGATTATTTTTAATTGTCTGTTTTATATATTTTTGTCTGTTGATTTCATTATCACATATATTGATCCTCGCAAAGACGCCTTGCTTTAGATTGTCGCTATGTATATATATATCAGACGTTATATTATCTCGCGGGTAATAAAATGTTTAAGCCGAAACTTTGCCGCCAAAACTAATTTGCGACGGTCGTATTTGTTTCCAGGTTAGACGGCTATCCGGTGGATCGCGGGGAAACTAATAAAACAGGCACAGACAGGACAAACGAAACACACCGCGAATCCGGCGGACCTCGAATTTGCGGCCGATGCTACGGCGCAGCAGCGTGGGAGAATTTGCAAAATCTATCATGGAAATGTAATTACCAAGTTTGATTGGATAATCTCTGGAGAAATCAGCTGCACAATCGGACATTGTCGCTCTTGCGTTCAAACTTGCGAGCAAAACAAAAGTAAGCCGAATGACAGTGTCGATGGCGAATGTGTTCGGAAATGCCCATTAAAATCGACACGGGCGACACATATTAACAAACTTTGTGCTGCAGCTTTATTATTATTTTTTTTTCGATATATCTGCATGTCGCAACTGTTTTTAACAGCTTTATTAGCACGTAGTCGCACTTGTCAAAACCGGAAACCTATGATGAGTTTTCCTGGACGCGGCATCTCGTTTGCTGATTCTAACAAGGCGCTACCGAAGCAATGTAGAAATAATTAACGAATTTCAACGAACTTTCAACAACTAACATCGAAAAACAACAAGCGTCGTATGCAGAGTTGCGACTAATGACATTGTTCGAGATCTGAATAAGCATATTTACGATTTCAGTATATCTATCTCATTATAGAAGCCGGTAATTTATAGAATTTTGGGGAATATCGTGTACATAGCACACTGGATAATAAATTTTGGAATTCAATTCAGCTAGTAAAACCCTACTTAATGCAATTTATATCAATATGGATAGATAAGAAATATTCGTGATATAATACTGATAATGCTGCCATTAAATTTTTGTTCATACAAAATATATATATATATCCGAGTAATATATTAAAAGCACTACAATGTTTAAAAAGTTTCCGAATTCCGGCATACTCTGCAAGTGCTACGTAAAGCTTCCCACCTTCAAACGCAATCTCTCGAATTTTTCACATTCCGATCTTTAATCTCTGTAAAATTTCATCTTTTCTAAAATCACGTTTCGTGAGGTGTCTCATAGACTTTGAGATAATACAAGCGTGCTTCTTCGAAAAATTCATAAAAGTTGGTCATCGTCACGAAAGAGTCGCCGACACCTTCCGCGCCCGGAGGCTTCGCCCACGTTTCTCGATCATCGGCAGGACCGCGCGACTGTAGCGGCTCGGGGTACGCGCTCCATTCTTATCTCGATTATAGTCGAATGAAGTTCACTCGGGGGCCGAAATACTCCCCGAAGTATTTCATTATCGAGATCGTACCACGGTGGGTAATAAAATTGGAAGGCACTTTCTCGTCCCGGTCCGCGCCGGAAAAGAGGCAAAGCTGGCTCTCCGGGCGTACACAGACACAGGCGCGAGCGAGCGAGCGTCGTCGCGTTGGCGCGCGTCCATACGTGCGCGCAGCATCACGGGTGGAGTTGAAATATTGGTCGAGAATACGTTTATGATGGTAAATAGCGTGAGGGGGAACGAAAAGAAAGCGAGAGATTTCGACAGGGTGAATGACGATTGAGGCGGAGAAAGAAGGAGAGAGCTAGAGCATGATATATCGATGCGTGGAACGAGAGGGGAACGGAATGCGTGTATGTACCATGAACGTTTGTGTGAGATCGAGAAAAGAGAGCTTCCTCGGAAAGATGGGAGCGAAAAGAGAAGAGAGGAGAGAAAGAGAGGGCGATAGTGGCGTGGAGATGAGGGCGACCGCAGGAACGAGGAGGGTCCAGGTGGGCCAGGTATGGCGAACGGAGGTGCCGTACGGCCCACGCAAACCGGCCCCCGCTTTAAGGCCCCCGGGCCCGCGCGCTACATCTCTTTCCGTCCTTTCCTTAGCTACGACCATCTACCATCTTCGAGGCCCTGTAATACCCTCGCATTTACGACTAAGCGTCACCGATACGCGCGCACGGCGACACATATACGGGGCCGCGAAAGACGCGCGCGAGTGTATGCATATAACCGCCTGCAGACGCATCTGCTTCGATCATATTCCTTCCTCGAGAATTATTGGCTCCGCCATGTATAGGGTGTTCTTTCGCGATTCGCGAGCCTGTGCGCTTTATACGAGCGAGTGATAATGCTTCACGGTGTGAATAGATTTGAATCTCGCTGAGAAGATTTTATAATAAATTTTACATGATTTTTCAAGAATCAATTTTCACTTGTATCAAATGAACTTTATTTGTATCATAAAACTAGAGTAGAAACGGTAAAAGTGATTCTAAAGCGACCAACAATCCAGATACAACGTAAACGCTTTATTGCGCTATTCAGGATCTTGCGGATATTTTTTAGATTTTCCTCTCACGTTGCTCTAATTTGGAATTCGACTGCCGGATATACAACGATTGTCGCACGTGTTCTCAGCATCCCGTCGGGAAATTTGTAGATATTAGAATTTGGCACGCGTCGAGATTCGACGTACATTCTCTGCCAACATTCCTAGACTTTTCATACGTGTTACGGATTTATTTGCAATACTTTAACGTACATTTTTACAACATTGCATGTCAGATAAGTTTCACATTTACAGTTTTAAATATTCTTCCTACGTAGATGTTTCAGTTTTTAATCATTATTTTTATCTTTCTTGAATTTGAAAAATGAAGTAAATAATATCATCGGCTTTAGCATACGATTAATTAATCTCGCAGTGTTTCTATATAACTTGGAATTTCAGTTTGCGATTGTGGTATTTGCACGTGCCTAATACGTTACCTTCAAATACCTGCGCTTATATTGTGTCAACGTTATAATGCATTTCCTACAGCAACCATGAATATAGCACTTAATATTCCGCCGTTCGGTGTGAAAGAGGGAGAGGAGGTTAATTTCTCGCGATAGATAGCTCGTTCAATCGATCGGGCGTACGAGCAGGCTTGTATTCTGCCTAGGACAGAACCAATAAACGTGTGCATCTCATCGAGTGACTACGAAAATGGCTATGAGGAACGAAGCAACCCGGAGAGCGGATAAGGAAGTGTATCTGATGTAACCACCAAAAGAGCCAGCACTTCGGAATTTACTGCGAGCAGAGTTTACTACGTGGTGCATTACGCAAAATGCATTTTCTCGCAAAACATTAAAGCATTCCCCATTAACTGTAGCGATTACAATTGGCACGGCTTTTTATTTGCAAAATTTGAATTTAAACCGCGCGTATATTTCTCGCATCAATCGGAATTGCATCGGCGGCGATATATCGGACGGAATTTACGGGCTCCCGCCTGACTGCGTTTCTTATTTTCGATCTTATTTATTCCGTTCTTTATTTACGTTCGCCGGAATTCGCACTTCTTTATCGCGTTTCAGCAGTTGCTTTGTAAATGCAAACCGGGCTAATCGATTTCCGTTGCAATGTCGTACCTATGCCATGGAACCGCCGTATCGAGGGGGGTGGAGTGCGAGGAAGTATTTATGGTACTCGGAACGAGTGCGTCGACGCTGGGGCCACCACCAGAATGCCACCCAGGAGATGGTCCGGGGATGAAACCAATTTTCGACGGTGTCTATATAAATCAGATCTTGTTACAAGCGCAGGTACCGTCAGCGCTGCGGATGCGCTCGCCCGAGCCAAATTCCCTCCGCCGGATGCCCGCGTACGCGGGCCCCCTTGTTTTCGAACGGTCCGCTCGCTGAATGGCCTTTTAAAGCCGAGTTAAAAAGGGGGTCAATATTTATTAGACGGTTTCTAATGAAACCTTTTAAATGCATGAAACTCGCGGTTGTATCACCCCACCGGTCGTTCTTGCACTCGTGCGCCATTCTCCGCGCGCAATCCCCGTCTTCTTCCGATTGACGACTCTCCCTCCTTTTTCGCCGCTTATCTCCCGTGCGTTTGACATTAAAACGCTATGAATCGTTTCTTTCGGTCTCACCCCGTGCTACGCACGCACGTCCAGTCCGCCGTAACTTTTCGCGCAAGGAGCGCCGGTGGATACTTCGGATACCATCGAGGGTCGAATTTATGCCGGGCTAATAAAATTACGATTTCATCTGCGAGAATGAATTGATTTTAAGCGGTGCTGAAGGAACAAACGGAAGCCGGCCGTATCGTAATTCAGCGTGGCGAACGCGTCGGGTCCTTTTTCTTCACGGCGTACATATTATCGCACGCGGCGAAGCATCGCACTCATTATTAAATCAATATTGGCGATTCTTACCCGTTGACGCAGTGAATAATCGAAGCATATAATTTCGTCGGATTTTACAAAAAGCACTCGTATTCAAATGGCCATTACGTCCGTTGGTTGCCGCCGGTATAAAATGTCACTTCGACTTTACGAATGAAGAAGCACGGCGTGCTCACGCTCTCGCGAGCAAGAGAGTAAACAGAGAAGATAGAGGTGAGTTTTACGAGAGGAGGCATTTTTCTCGCGGTAAAAAGCGAGACTCGTTACCTCTCATACCGCCGTTTCGTTTAGGCGCCGCGCAAAAAGCAGATTGTCAAAGGGGGAAAAGAAAACGTCGGGCGCACGAGCGAAACGTCGCGCTTCGAAGAAACGTGAGATATCAGTTGCAAGCAGGATTGCTGTAACGCGAGTCTCGAATAGCCTGCTGTATACAAGCATCCTTAAAGTCTTTCTCGACAAATTCGTGTTTGTTTAGTTGCCCTGTAAAAATAGATACATCTACCAATAAATCGCGGATTGTCTAGTAGTTGAAGTTGTTTATTTTAAAAACTGCATCGCGAGCTTTTGTATCGACTTTTATGAAAGATACTTCATTATCACTTCACACGACAATTGCTATTCTATTTTTACTCGTATGCTGCGAATGTCCTTCTGCAAACTGAAAAACGCTGTGATATAAGTGAGCCATAAACTCTCGCGATAATTTCGGAGTCGATAAATATGCACGCGAAATCGTCCAGCCGATATAAAGTCGCGGAGTCATCGGCTTTAACGACATCGCTTCGCGCGCAATAAGATGGCTAATCCCGTAAACTGGTCGATGTTGTGTAAAAAAGAGGATATGGAGATTAGCGCGACGATCGAGGATTACTTCGAATAGGCTCGATATAAAGAAGGTAAAACGTTTTGGGCAGTTAACCGGCAATTGCGAAGATAGCCAAAGTGAAAAAAAAAAGAATGCAATAAGCTGCAGATTTTATTGATTGTTAATCCTGCTATAAAATTTTTTATTATACTTCTTTAAGAG